TCTCTCTCTCTCTCTCTCTCTCTCTCTCTGTGTGTGTGTGTGTGTGTGTGTGTGTGTGTGTACATAAGTTGACAAGTCCCATGTGCATGTATTTCACCAGCAACTCTTCAAAACTGGAACGCAGTAATGCTCATCACGTTAGTAAGACGCCAGTACTTCCCTGTACGTACTCTTTCACAAAGACCTCTTGTTGCTATTTTGTTATTTAAGCTTCTCTCAGTTCTTCACTCTCACTTCCCTTTCATCTTTTACTTTCCCGTAAGCCATGCGCGAATACCAAAACGTCTATACTGCTGTCACCTCGCAATACTCGCTTTTTTCTTTCTCATTTTCTGTATATGACGTGATTACCAACGTGAGCAAATCCAAAGTCAAAGTCAAAGAATAATTTTATTCCATAGATAAAACAAATTTACACTTGAAAATAAGCTACTACTCGCTACGCTGACTTCGGAGAAGAACGAGCATGAAACTCTAGGGATTGCTCTTTTCAAATTAACTTAAATGCTATGGAATACACTTTGAATCAAATTTGTGTGGAATCTACAGCCATGTCATCTTTCCATACATCTTTATCTAACACGTAGTCTTCAAATTTGTAATATGACTTTTCAATTAAAGTATTTTTAATGTAGTTTTTAAACTTAGAAAATGATAATCTTAATAAATGCTTCGGAATCTTATTGATACCTACTTGTCAGCTTGCTGCACCGAAGAGGCTAGTTAAAAATTGTCTTTCTAAAACAAGATATGGTGGAAGAAACTGCTGAACAATACTAACATGGTTATACAGGCCTTAAAATGCTTCAATTAGTCAGGCTTTAGGAAGATAGTCGCAGTAAAAAGATGTAAATAGGCTGCTGAGGGGACTTGATGGAGAGGGGTACCGATCTCCACTATTACGATTAAAATTCGAATGACGACCAATCTCTTAGACCATGTCGAGCAAAAATTATATTCTATAGCTGTTCCGTAGTTTCGTTAATGTGTTAGAGTCTCACGGTTAAAATTTGGGGATGTCGTTCCTAATCATAATGTTTGCAGCGATTTTTGATGGGTGATAGCTTTACAAATACTTTTTGCACCTCACTAGCTCCGGAAAGGCCTTCTTTCTCATTAGAAATCTGCACGCAAAAGCATTTTTTCCACGCTAGTGTGGAAAAGGTTTATGAAATTCGAACTTGACGATGGATTGTGGTGCACGTAACTTTTTGGAAAAGAGAACATTATGACACCACGTTCAACTTCGCGATTTGTTGTAGGTACATTACTTATGTTATTTATATCCGTTGGTATATTTTATTCTAAGTTGTTGACATTCATTTGACCACGATAACTAATTTTGTTTATTAAAACTGATTTGTCATTTTCTTGGCTATAGTGAGGTGAAAAGTTGTATGCTTCCCTCGGCAGCAAAGTTGTTTTGCGTCTCGTGGCTTGAAATCCTCGCTACGCTTAAGATACGTCAAACAACAACTTTCCAGTCTTGCATAATAAATAACTATTTTACATTATTATTCCACCCACAGAACAATAAATACAGTAGAAGTGGTTAGTAAGCGTCTTACGCGTGCCAACTATAGGTTTCAACAGTCCGCCATTTTCGCTTTGTATAGTATGGTTGTGTCATTATTTTGTGCAAATTCTCTAAAATCCTAGAAAAATGCATTGTTGTGCTGTTTTGGAGTGAAAAATGACAACCGCACCAAAATATTGCGTGTGTTGGTATTTCATATCATCGGACAGTCTTCTTTTAATACATTTTCAACTTTCTGTATATCGAAAAATGTTTACCCTGCAATATGGTCGCTTCTTGTTTAGAGAACTAAATTAATAACTCCAATTCGTCGTCGTTCAGCAATGAACCGCTAGATGGTAGCACATTGAAATTTCAATATCATATCAAAACGTCGTAATTTATAACTAATACGTATTGATGGTATTGAACTTTGAACGATATGCCAACAGGATAAAGTTTAAATTATATTAACAATCCAGAATTTGTTATTTCTTTTTAAATTTGAAACTACGATCAATCAATATCAAGATTTTTGAAGTGTTTCAAATGAAGAATGAGTGAGTTTTGGCGACATCGCTTCTCATAGTAATCGAGGCATAAGGGACTTCCATTGTTTTTTTTAGTCCGTGATTCCAGTTTTCCACATTACACAAAAGCGTTTTCTTTTTTTTTTTGTGGCAACAAACAGTCATACATGAAATAGTAATTATTTACATATATTCCTCTTAAAATAGACCTACAGTGCCAGCAGATTATAATAAGAACGTCTGTAACATATCTTATAGAGTTATTTGTAATGATAACATTCTTGTTTTATGCGTTACTAGAGTTTTACATTAGGTAATATCATTAATTAATCTTTCTAAATTAAGTGAGCATGAGTAACAAAGTATAATATCATTGATTAAATATATAAGACAGAGTTTAATAAGCGAGTACAAAATCATTAAATGTCATTTACAATTTGTAACATCGATTTTTTTTTTAATTTACTAAGAGTGGTGTCAAAGAAATCAATATTAGAAAAATTTTTATTGTACTTGTTGGTGGAACGGTAAATGAAAGAATTGCGTATATATAATTTCGTAAATGGTGGGGGGACAAATAGTGGTCGTTTGCGAGAAGACCGCATAGGAAGGCGCACACGAGCAATGAAGCGTATCCTGCTTAGAAGGGCAGATGAATCAATTTCATTATTCAAAATTTTGTATAGCGAAACTAAGTCAAACATTTCATTTAAGAATTTATTATTCCTTACAGGAATCACACCCACAAAACGAAACAAAGCGGGATCACAGATATTTAGACCTTCTTTTGTACACTCCAGATACTAATTCAACGCGACAGCTCATGGACGAAGTAGGGCCACAGCTAAATCTGGATCGTTTGGACCAACTATCTGGTAGGATAAGCTTATCAAAAGATTGTCTTTGTTAACTCTGTAATTAACTCTGTGCTGGAGGAGGGTGGGAGTCGTCGTGGAGAACGCTGCACGTTTGAATTTACCTTACTACCAAAGACTATAAACAAAGTGTCAAATAGCACAACAAAAACTTATATTTTTGGCATTGACTTACAAATAAATGGACGACGGGTCTAATCCAAAAACCACGAAAAAAATGTCCCAAGTCAACCTATTTAAACGTAGTGACATGTAGGTAAAGGAATATGAAAAAGCTAAAACGTTGAATTTAAATTGTAAAGTCATCGCAGTACTGTCTAATTTTGCTTGCTTCGCTGTCAGTCGAACAAACGAAGACAAAAGCGTGAATGACGCTCTGTATACGATTTTAACGCCCTATAAGTTCGGACACGTTTTAGCGCGGACCCGACGTCCATATAATTGTAAGTCAATGATTTTTGGTGAATTTATAATGTTTTGTAAAAAGCCATTGAACAAAAGTTGTTGTTTTTAGTTTAGTATAATATTGACTTGCAAGGTTGTTAGTATTATAAGCATCTAATTTAAAGTCATATACGCGGACTTTTTTCAATTAAAAAGCGAATAGACAAATTAGTTCTTGTTATATAATTTTTTCATTACAGTGGACTCCTTGAATACGAAAAAGTACGTGGGAGTTAAAAACGAAAGCTTTTTTAATACGTTTCTAACCACAAAAAAGAATTTGAAGTTTGACAAGTTTGCAATCGTCATATTCCATAATGTAGAGGTGAGCAGATATCGAATTCCATAGTACTTACAATTTACAGAGTAGAAAAGTGTTCTTTTTGGAAATATAAAATTTATTTCCTTATGACAGCAAGCGACGGGACGAACTAGTTGTGCATCTGGTGGTGAAAAACACAACTGTCCATAACAGTCGCAGTGCCACTCATAGCTTTATATCACAAAGATCTGAGGGGCACTGCCACTGCGCGTGATACCCTGAAACATTTAAGTTGACAAGTCCTATATACCTGTAACTTCACCAGCACCCTTACCTTTCGAACCGGAACGGTGTAATGCTCACACTACTGCTTGGCGGCAGAAATAAGTAAGGTGGCAGTACTTCCCTGGACAAACTCTTTCACTCTACTGCCACTGAATTGCTGTTCCTCTATTTTCACGATTACAAAAGTAAATTGTGAGTTTTTGTTCGCCGTTGACGTCACTTTTGTGTTGTTCAGGGTGCGGTCGGGGATAATACAAATCCGCGTACGTAGTACTGGTAAAAAGTGTGTATCTGGACTAAAATAAATTACTACAGGGCTAACGATATTACTTTGGTATTTCAATGGCTACAACTTTTTTGCTCGGCAAACATTAAATTTATGTTGTCCACGAACTGTTAACAATAGATTCCCGTAAATCATCACCACTAATTTGGTTGCCACCATATTTACGCGAATTTGAATTGGCCACTAAATTGTTGAAATGGAAACTCATAGGTAATCCAATGCTAGTTACGCGTAATTAGAGTAGAATAGAATAGAAATCATTTATTCCTAGAAACACAGTACACATGCATTTTATAATAATAATAATAGTAATATTAACCTAAGGATTTGGAACTAAATATGTACATATAATATACAGAGTATAAAGCCTGTGTGCTGTGCTGCCAAGGAAACCGCGACCCACTCAGCTTGTTGTTCTTTCAAGTGCTACGACGCAGATTTTCAGCGGATCCGGACACAGAACACACGTGCCACGGAACATAGTAGGCGACACTAAAGACATTGGCTGACACAGGCACATAATCATATTAATTTAAACACAAAACATGAGTGGTCTTTCCCATTAAAATACAATAAATGTAGTTACCATTTAAGAAGTACCATGTCATGCGCAACAAATTACAATACAATTGATTGGAAATTAATATGATAAAAAAAGAACGTGTATATATTTAATTTGATAAAATTATAAAATGAGGTTTCATTAATTAATTGAGAAGTTTGATTACAATTAAACAGACGAACAATATTAAACTAAAACGCATATATCCCCGGCACGTCAATTGCTACGATGGATATTTTTAAGAGAGAGCAGAGGAAAAATTCCTAATCTTCGATTTGATTTTAGAGGGGTATATCCACTTTAAAGTTAAAAATAAAATATTGTATGAGTAACTACACGATATATTCAAGCATAGACACTAATCAGAAACATAAAACAATAAAGTTTCCTCGATAAATCAAAATCACGAAATGACCTCTAATTTTCACATTTTTTCGATTTATCCTCGAAATGCTACAGGTTATTAGGACAAAAATTAGATAATTAATTATATTTATGCATGATCGACAACTGTCACTACGGATTTTTTTTAATCCCTTTAGTTTTAGAGTTAGTCCGCTAAAACGAATTTGGTACTTTTAATGCGCAAAATTCAACATCGTCTGTCGCATGTCACGCGAACTTCAGGCATACATTTGTTTCACAAATTTGGGCGGAGCCAACGTCAAAACTTTTTTGTCATGCTCCCTCTTAAAGATTTAGCAGATACTCTTTGAGTAATTTTTTGAATACAAACATTAAGGAAGCGTTTCTGATTGGCGGAGGTATACTATTCCAGCATTTCTGGTCAGCATAGCGAAAGCTACCTTGAAAGCGCGCTGTTCTGTGACGGGGGCATACGAGACGAGATGCATGTCCAACATGCATGGATGAAAAACTTAGCTTGTTGATGACTACGCACTTCTGTTTGTTAACAGAACACACTGCCCAGTCATTTGCGATACACTATAAAAATTAACGAAGAAAGCTACATACATGGATATCAATCGATGTACTTTCTGATGAATTCTCACAAAAACTTTGGTATGAAATATTTTTTAACTACTTAGAGCTTATGTTACACGAGCTGACGACGCGCGTTTACGGGCGCCGTAATCATAAAATCTACTAGTAATAAATTCGAACAACCAATAATGAATAAAAATATGGTTTTTTGCCTCTCCTGAAAAGATTTTGAGTTATTCCCTTTTTCACTAGAGGCACTGATATAATCCCCTGTGGAAGAAATTTCACTCCACTCTGTGTAACCAATCTTCATCAGTTATAATACATATTTCTTACATTACAGACAACGACCATCTCCTTTTCATGCGCGTCCAGTGGGCGATAGACTCCAGCTACCTCGAACTGCAAGGCGTCGACATTAAAAAAGTATGTTCAGTCTCTTGGCCTATTAATCCACCAAAGCATAGATGAGATTTGTAGAAACAATAGCCCGCTTTACACAGTGACTTTATCGCACGTGACTAGGAGCGTACAGGATTCATAAAACACATATAGAGGACAGAAAAATATGTAATATAATAAAAAGAAAAATAAACTAGCGAAGTCGCAGCACTGCCGAACACCCAGTTATGTATGTGTTTACTCAGGAGCAAACCGTTAATTTTCAGCTACAACCTAGAGGGTACCGCGGATACGGTAAGCTAGCTGACGCAATTTCCATGTTCTAATCAAACAAATAATAATTTCGAAACTAAATAAATACGGAAGATAATTAGAGATGCCACGAATAGTGATTTAACCGAATACCGAAAATTCGGCTACGCTCTCGGTCGAAGCGCCGAATATTTGGCTGTCGAATGTTCGGCGTAAGAAAACTGTTCGCCTAGATCGGACGGCAGATCCTTATAAGTGGTGATCCACAAACGCAACGCAATATCCAAGGCTGTCAAAATTTGCTAAGATTTGTCTCTCGTCTTCGGGCTATAGTGTTTATAGTGAGAGGCTATTTTCAGAGGCAGGAATTGTTTATGAGGAAAAGCGCAATCGTTTGTTACCACTGTTCAAAAAATTGTTTTCATTCATCACAACCTGTCACGGATTGATTTTTAGTTCTAAAGCAATAATTTGTGATTCAAATACATGCTACATTTTGAATAATATGTGCTTTTTTCCATTATTTGATATTTGAAATATTATTATTAAATATATAACTAATTAAAGGAAACTAATTTAGGAAATCATTGGCAGTGAAAAGGCGCTGGCTCAGCATAACGCTGGTATTCTGCCAGAACTGTGTTAAAAGAGACGCCACTCGTCATCTCAGACAGTCCTCTGGCGTTATCGTTTAATGTGATAAAGATTATTATTTATATTTTTAATCGATATTTGTCCGATGTCGGCGAGCACCGTACCTAAATATGGTTTTTGTTCCAGTTAAAACTGTCCGTGCACGAGGTGGACGTATCGTCTCAGAAAAAGTTGGACAGGGAAACCATCTCCGTAATGGTGCACATTGCTTGTGTCATGTCACTTTATATACCCTTCGTCCTTCTAATGGTTAAGTTGCTTCAGGAACGATGTTCTGGCGTGCAAGTAAGTTTTAGGCTGCGGGGCACAAACTGTCTCGTCTCTTGAGTCCTGAAAATCCTTCCACTGTTACTCAATGGTTCTTCACTTTGGTAAATTGAGTAGTAAAACCATTGACTTACAATTATATGGACGTCGGGTCCGCGCTAAAAAGTGTCCGAACTTATAGGGCGTTAAAATCGTATACAGAGCGTCATTCACGCTTTAGTCTTCGTTTGTTCGACTGACAGCGAAGCAAGCAAAATTAGACAGTACTGCGATGACATTACAATCTAAATTCAACGTTTTAGCTTTTTCATATTCCTTTACATGTCACTACGTTTAAATAGGTTGACTTGGGACATTTCTTTCGTGGTTTTTGTATTAGACCCGTCGTCCATTTATTTGTAAGTCAATGAGTAAAACTACTTTTTTTGACATTCACACTTTGCAATTGATCGCTGATGGCCTTGACTGCGCCATCGGACAAAAGGGCGAGCTGAAAGCTCTTCATCCATTAAGATAACTTAAAACTAAGTAGCGGGCCTGAGGGCGCCAAGCGGGTGGAGATGGGAAAAACAGCTTATTTTTTTAAACGTTAAAACCTTGTGCTTTTTTTTAAAAGTTTGCTTTTTAAACGCTTTTTAGTTTGTTTAGAAGAATGTTTAAGCGCGTAGACTTTTATTGTTAATAATCTCAGTACAGAGTACTAGAAAAACCGACCTCAAAAGTACGTGGAATTACATATAATTACCAAGTTTTATTGAAATCGGTTACCTACCGGAAAGTGCGCAAACCCGGATTCATCCCCTAGTTCGGCACTATACGGGACTTGACACAGGAGATAACAAAAATCGGTTCTCACTACTGAAAGTAAATATAAAGAGAAAAACGCCTTGAATTGGAGAATAGCAAAATCGCCATTAAAATAATTGCTCCTTGTAATAAAATTTAGGTGCTATTTATAAAAATGAATCTTCATGCGTGGACAGCCACCCTTAGAGGTAGATGATTTTTTTCAAAATTAAATGGGACCACTATAGAGGTACCTTCTTTCCAACAAAAAAAGAATCATGAAAATCGGTTCACAAATACCGGAGTTATTTATTTTATTTTATTTTTTTTTTATTATTATTTAGAGTTATTGCGTAACATACATACAAAATAAAAAACATACAGTCAAATCAAGAATCTCCTACTTTTTTGAAGTCGGTTAAAACAGCTTGCAACGTTGTGTGTGTGTGTGTGTGTGTATGTGTATATATATATATATATATATATATACAAACTGTATGATAAAAAGTTTTTTGCGATTTCTGACATTTCGAGTACTCTTACCTCAGTTGGTCCCATAGAGACTATTGATCCTTAACAGAGACCGGATCGAATGGCATAAAAAAAGTTTTGTAAAAATTACCGTTTGTATGGAGTGTTTGGGGTGTGGTTTTAAAGTCAAGATCTGAAAAATCATCGAACGAAAAAATACACTTTGAATACATAAAATACACTTTACAAACACTATACACTAAACACTATACACTACTCAAGTATACTTTGCGAACTGAAGGCAAAAATGGCGCAGACAACTAGCAAAATATTGGTAACTTACATTGACGAAGTAGTTCTAGTTTTTAAATAAAGGTGGTGTTGTTCGTATCCTATACGAGACGGTTGGTACCTGAGGGTTAATTTCTAAACCATTTGAGCTATGTATATGAGTCCGGGGAAAATCTTTCTAGTACATCACAAGATGTTACTAATGTCAATAAAACCAACTAAACCTATTATTTGCTCTCTTCAATTTACTGATGAATTTACCGAGGATTATTTTCTATAAATAAACATTAAATTAAATAAGTTACATTTACACAACTAACGAAGAGTATACAGACAGCTCTGAAAGGTACAAGGTTCCAGCTAGAGAAAGGTGACTTGTTTTTTATTACACGTAAACACTTATAATTAATAAGATTGCGGTTATTATATTAACGATAACAATGTTTATTTATAATATAAAAGGCATATCGATGCGATATGACGCTGCAGTTTTCCGATAAGGTTAAAGCCTACAGACAGTTCAATAGACACATATGGAAGTCCGTGTGACACGACACACGGGTCTATAATACCAATAATATTAAAGATACCATAGAGCGGAACAACGGCTCCAAAGTGTTTGCAAGGGACATGTCTATTACGCAAAGTCAGTTTAAAAAGCTGAAGACGGAGGTAGGCAACGTTGTAACGTCCAAGCTAGAGGTTCTGGGGGAGATCTAGAGGTTTTGTATCCAGCTATGTGCCTCGGTTACTCAGCCTGTTGCTGATTCTAAAGATTCTAGACCCAAGCTGATCCGACACTATACTGAGGATATCCCGGACATCAGTCTGTACGAGATTAGGATGGCCCTGAAACAGCTAAAAAACAATAAGGCACCGGGTGAAGATGGAATTACATTCGAGCTTCTGAAAGCGGGTGGAACACCTGTACTAAGAGTCCTTCAGAGGCTCTTTAATTCAGTCTTGCTCGAAGGTTCTACGCCAGAAGCGTGGTGATACTCTTCTTCGAAAATGAACATAATACCCTATTGAAGAATTACAGGCCCATCTCGCTTCTAAGCCACGTTTATAAGCTGTTTTGACGAGTCATGACGAACCGTTTCGCGCGCAGATTCGATGACTTCCAGCCCCGAACAAGCCGGTTTCCGAAAGGGCTTCAGTACCACAGGCCACATCGCCATACGCTGCGGCAGGTTATACAGAAGACCGAGGAGTATAACCTGCCATTATGCTTAGCGTCTGTGGACTATGAGAAAGCCTTTAATTCGATCGAGATTTGGGCAGTGCTACAGTCTCTACAACGGTGCTACATTGACTATCAATATATCGAAGTGTTGTAGTGTTTGTACAGAAACGCCACTATGTCAGTTCGACTCCAGTATCAGTGCACAAGGCTTATCCAATTATAAAGAGGAGTGCCACAGGGAGACATCATTTCTTCGAAACTGTTCACCACTACATTAGAAGATGCTTTCAAGTTACTGAACTGGAAAGGACTCGGCATTAACATCAATGGCGAGTACATGACTCACCTTCGATTTGCTGACGATGTCGTGGTCATGTCAGGATCGTTGTAAGGGCTTGGCACCATGCTCGGTGACCTCAATAAAGTTTCCGAGCAGGTGGGTCTAAAAATGGCATGGACATGGACAAGACGAAACTCTCGTATATCGAATGTCCATGTCGTACCCACCCCTATTACAGTGGGAACCTCTACTCTCGAAGTTGTTGACGAGTATGTCTACCTCGGACAAACCGTCCAATTAGGCAGGGCCAACTTCGAGAATGAGGTCAATCGTCGAATCCGCCTCGGTTGGGCAGCTTTCGGGAAGCTCCGGGACGTCTTCTCGTCCGCAATACCGCAGTCCTTGAAGACAAAAGTCATCGAGAAGTGCGTGTTGCCAGCGATGACCTACAGCTCTGAGACGTGGTCACTTACTATGGGCCTCATAAAAAAGCTCAGTCACGCAACGAGCTATGGAGCGAGGAATGCTCGGCATTTCTCTACGTGATCGAATCAGAAATGAGGAGATCCGTAGAAGAACGAAAGTCACCGCTATAGCTCGAAAAATTAGCAAGTTGAAGTGGCAGTGGGCAGAGCACATAGCTCGTAGAACTGACGGCGGTTGGGGTAGAAAGGTTCGTGAATGGAGACCACGAACCGGAAGGCGTTCAGTGGGACGACCCCCTACTAGATGAACGGATGACCTGGTAAGGGCGGCGGGTAACCGATGGATTGGAAATCTTTGTGGGAGGCCTATGTTCAGCAGTGGACGTCTTCTGGCTGATATAATAATGATGAAGAATGTTTATTTATAAATTCACAACTAATGAATTGGTTACAATATTTTTTTTATAAGTCGAAGTTAAACAGTCACAAGATTATCCTTCCTTCTGAACTAGGGGATACTGTATCTTAGGAAGAGGAATTCGAGCGTGGGCTTACTGTGAACTTATAATTTGTATAATTGATATAATAGGAAATGAAACTATTTTTCCGGATTTAAATCGCGTATACATATTTGTTTTTTCAAACAAACCGACGTTTCGGGGCCTTTACAGGTCCCATGGTCACGGTTGACTGAGGTGATACAGTCTTCAACCAGTTTTGTTTGAAAAAACAAATATACGCGATTTAAATCGGGAAAAATAGTTTCATTTCCTATGTGTAACAATCGCGAAAACCTAAGAACTCGACATAATTGATATAAGTTTAATAGCATTAGGTGATTTAAGATTTGGAATGTTAATATGTGTTTGTGTGTGTGTGATTGTGTGTTTTTTTAGTTTTTTTTTGTCATACGACTAAAGTCAAAGTCAAAGTATTTATTCATGTGTTACAAATGATCTTAAAGTTAAAGTAGTATCAACATGACCCTGTTAGGGCGCCGCAATTTAACCATATGTACTTAAACAATATCTTTTCTTTTTTTAAATTACAATTACTAATACAGCCGCTATCCACAAACGAAGTATCGCTTTGTTGATCAAACAGCGCTGAAGCGAGGCTATTCCTTCTTATTGTCATTCGTCATCTTATAGCATTTTTGGGTTACATTTTTGACTAGTCGCAGCTATGAAAGATTTCTTTTTATTCACTCCTTAATAATAGAGCTGTACTTAGAGTAGTTTATTTATGATTCGCTAGCTTTTGTAAATCAGCAACGGGCGTTGCTGATTTGAATGAACCTTTCTATTTTATTAACCAAAAACAATTCTTTTTCAGGAATTGATGAAAATTATGGGCGTATCAGCAAATTTGCTAGATCTATCGCATTTCCTCGACGTGCTACCAACGGGTCTCGTTTTCAGTATAAGTGGAACCGTATTCCTCACTGTTGGAAAGATAGCTGTAATACCAGATACAGATCCTTTGTTAATTTTCATTATGTTACTGCTGTATTTCATCTCTGTGATGGCATTTGCATTCGCCTTCAGTTACATTGCTAAAACTGGTAAGTGCTTCTTTTATTTACTTATGCTCACCAAAACGATTTAAAATACCCTGTTTCTTTTTTAAAACACTTCTATTGACTTCATTAAGCGTCTGAAACGATTTCAAATGTTTCCAAGTCGATTCATTATAGCGCTTTAGTAGGTGTGTAAGGTATCATTGTAAATAACGCTCATTTAATATAATTCTTTTTAATATACCTAAACATTTTTGATATAACTGTTTACATACATTCTATGATTTCGTCTTTGATTACAATCATTTATACCCTAACACTCATTATAAATAACAAGATTCTTCTTCTTATTATTTAAGAGCTAGGCTCTTGTCGGTGGAGTAATCTCCAATCGTCTCTATTTAGTGTTTTAGCCTTGATTTCCTGGTGCGACACGACATTAACTTTTTCCTTTATCTGATCTAAATAACTTCGTCTCGATCTTCCTCTGCCTCTCTTTCCTGCGATCTTCCCTTCTATTGTTTCTAAGAAAACTGTCGTGATGTATCAGATGACCAATTTCCCCCTTCGGTTCTCTATTATCTTTAATAAACTTCTCCTTTCATTCACTATAGTTGACACCTCGTAATTGGTCTTTCTTTCCGTCCAACAAGATTATTAGTGAAGCTGAAAATGCTTTAGATGAGGATGATGTTCGGAAACTTATATGACTGAATACTATATTTAGATTTGAGAGATTTATGGCTTTAAAACCCAACGTCATATCTACTTTGGAATGGCGACTGATCAGGCCAGCAAACTCGGTCTAGGGTGAAATAAGACTATAAATTCTAAGTATTCCAGTTACCACGGCCACCTACCAACCTCGCCTGCACGCGGTGCACCCTGCACATAGTGAAAGAGGCTCTGGCCACACTTGAAACAGAGTATTCCCAAGGAGGTGTGACGTCAGGCACGAGGCCGATCATAAAACACCACCAGGGTTTTAAAGCCAGCTGCGGCGCTCTTCAGTGACTGCACGCACCATATAATATTTTCACTTAAAAGCAATACTTACAAAAATAATTCATAAAATACATTAAATATTGCACGTTATTACAAGATTACATCTTGCAATTTTTTTATGAACTATCACAGGGATCATCCTAGAGAACAATTGTAGTTAGCTCAGAACCAGTAACATTATTAATATTGACGGTGACTGTACTAATCGATCAGTAGGTCCAATGCCAGTAGTCCAACTAGTTGGACCACGGGCAATGAATGGAAAAGCGCGGGAAGCTTAGAACAGCCAGTACACGGGTGCTCGGAATGGCGTCTTAAAACCATTGACTTACAATTATATGGACGTCGGGTCCGCGCCAAAAAGTGTTCGAACTTATAGGGCGTTAAAATCCTATACAGAGCGTCATTCACGCTTTAGTCTTCGTTTATTCGACTGACAGCGAAGCAAGCAAAATTAGACAGTACTGCGATGACATTACAATTTAAATTCAACGTTTTAGCTTTTTCATATTCCTTTACATGCCACTACGTTTAAATAGGTTAACTTGGGACATTTTTTTCGTGGTTTTTGTATTAGATCCGTCGTCCATTTATTTGTAAGTCAATGCTTAAAACAGACTGGCTGCAGGGAAAGCACCGGTGCGCCGGTCTCGCTGCGTGTGCGCCAACACCAGGCACCGGCACTTAAGTACAAATGAGAGTTGTAGGAAGTGTATGTATTTAGTGAAATTAAAAATTATATTAAATGAGCGTTATATCTATTTAAGTTTGATGTTCACTCAAATGAAGCGTACCCCTTTAGTATAGGACATAAACGAGTTGAAACACTTGCAGTAGTAAAGATCTTTACTTGTGACACTCATTGTTCAGAAATTTCCCAGTGTACAGAAATTATTTGAAACGATACATTTCGCTGCTCTATATTTATTATAGATCAATATGCAGTGACGCTATCCTCATTGGCATACATCGTGTCATGGGCACGAATGGAATTGCTAGTGATAATGATGAAGTCAAATGTGTTGTTGCTGTACGTATCGGGCTTGTTTCCGCACATACCCATGTCTTGGTTCTGGACGGAAGTCATCATGAAGGGTAGACCATTAAGGAAGAGCAGAAGTACAATTTTTGACATTTTATTTATACATTATAGGTGTTGTCTGCGCAGGGGATGGTATAAATAAGGGCATGGTTTGATTTCAACTCGTGTATTTAAAAATTAGAAATGAACAGTACAGTGCATTGACTTACAAATAAATGGACGACGGGTCTAATACAAAAACCACGAAAAAAATGTCCCAAGTCAACCTATTCGAAATTTAAATTGTAATGTCATCGCAGTATCGCGCTGTCAGTAGAACAAATGAAGACTAAAGCGGAGTGTCGCGCTCTGTATACGATTTTAGCGCCTTAAAAGTGCGGACACTTTTTAGCGCGGACCCGACGTCCATATAATTGTAAGTCAATGGTACAGTGGTAAGCGTTTAATGTCGTCGGCGATCGAGTGAATACAGATACTAGTTTTAACCGCGGCGCGTCTCGCGTTTCTCTTCCCCTCTTAGCTGCGCCGACAGGTGTGGTCACCGTAGTTGAGATGCATGTATAACTAAAAATAAGCTAGGATAATCACTGTGACATTTCATAAAAATCTACACAATATGACCTTATAACGACGTGCACTAATTTACGTATTTCATACAATGTTTTTATAAGCCTCGTTTTTAAATGCCTTTGTTTAAGTAAATTCATTAAAGTACAAATAACACCAAATCAATGTTTATTTGTGAGAAATTATTGAAAAAACTTTTTTTTTTAATTCGTTAATTCATTACGACAACATGCATAGGTTACTTCATTACACTGCATTTGCTAGAGATGTGGTATATCGATAAAAAGTTTTCGAAAATTTAATGAAAAAAATTTATAGTGCGTATATTTATTTTTAAAGTATGAATTTTAATCCTAGGCAACGAATTAATATGTCAGTGTTATTACTTTTTGAAACCTGTAAATTAATGATATGATAAATGTATTTTGGAATTTTCTAAATTATCTATTCAAATTGCATTTGAATAGATAATTTGTTTTTAATTAATTTATACCTTCAAAATAATATAAAACGCTTCACACATCGTTCAGAGTACGCCGATGAAATAAAACTATAAGAGAGAAATATAAGAGAAGAAACTATAAGAGAAGTTAGTTGGTATAGCGTCTGGCACGGTATGCAAGAAGACGTCGGTTCG